ACCCCCGAACACCCCTGAGACCACCCTTGACCACACAGCTTAGGCACAGAACTGATCGGAAACCCCACCCCACCACACCACCTGACCACAGACCTGAACACAGAGCTGCAGGCCACCGCACCACAGCAGCCGTCCTGAGCGCACTGCTGTGGGTCACAGCCCCCATGCGGTCACTCGGTGACTCCTGTTTGGAGTAGAGGACTCGGTCAGGGAGAGCGCAGCCCATGGTCACTGTCACTTTCGGCCGTGGAGCCAGCAAAGCTGTCCCAGAGCAGGCCGGCCAGGCTTGCCATAGTCTGGTTTGCTGACCTCAGCATTGGGCAGTGAGAGGCCCCAGCACAGTGGATGAGGGACGTGAAGAGGCGCTGACGCAGGCTGTTGGTGCACACGCATCAGCTCACATGCCAGCGGCTCTGCCCTCTGGCCAGCACCACTGTGTGCTCCCTGTTTCCTGCTCTGCCAATCACTGCCTGTCAGGACTCAGATCACATCCTAAACGGCCTGCAGTGGGGGACAGTCTCCAACTCTTTTTAAACGGCCTGCAGTGGGGACAGGCTCCAGATCAGACCCTTGTAAACAGCCTCCTGTTCACACTGGCCCCAGGGGCTGGAGTGACCACGAGGAGAACCCACGTGACCTTGGGACAGAAGGTGTCTGAGTGCAGGCGCCCAGGGCAGGGTTCGGGGATATGAGGGCTCACTCTCCTCCCCTGCAGCACCACCCAGCTCTGGCCCTTGTTGGGGCTCCCTGAGCTTCCATGCGCTGTCACCTGTCAGCCAGGGGTCGTGGGCAGGTCTGTGTGTCAGTGTCTCCCCCTCAGTCCAGAGAAGGGCAGTGCAGGCGTCAGTCCACACACAGGTCCTGGGGACCTCCTCGGGCAGGGCTCACGGGATGGCCATGACACTGACACTTGACGAGGAGCTGTCCTCTGCAGCCCTCGGGGAACAGGCCTCAGCACTGCGTTCAGTCCTTCGCGGGGCCCAGCGCTCCCCGTGTGGGAAATCCTGCAGGAGGAGGAACATGGCCCACCTGCCGTGGTCAGGGAGGGATGTGGGGCTGCTGGGGTGTGGACCTGCCCCTACTGTAACTGCTTGTTTATAGTGGGCACCGCGGGTGACAACTCCTCCAGAAGTACATTCACCCCACACAGGGACTAGTTGGCATCAGTGGTCCAGTTAGTGTAGGCTCTGGGAGTGCAGACTGAGGCCTGGAAGTGGGGTTCATGCCCGGAGACCGCTCAGAGGCCTGGAGGCTCTGGACTTCATCCCCTCAGCTTCTGAGTGAGGGCCTTACAGCCGGGACTGAAGGGCCGTGTCTCGCTGTGCTGGCTGCTCCCCTTGGCCTCAGCCGCACGCTCTGAGTGGTCTGTGCCCAGCAGGCCTGACAGGCTCGTGCCTCATGGACTCACTGGCCTCCGCGTGGCCCCTCACTGGTGTGAGATCCTCAAGGCTGTGCGCCCAGAGCCTCATGTTCTCCAGCCCCACTAGGCCCAACGCTGTGTATGGAACCTCACCCACCACCCTGTCTTGAGCACTGTCCAGATGTGGCCAGACATAGGGCCTGGGAATGGGGTTTAGAGAATGAGGAGGGCACCGGGAGGGACACGATCCCTCTGTGAACCCAGCGTCCAGGTGTCGGGGATGTAGGGACCTGCTCATGGGGTTTGCAGAGTGAGGAGGGCTTTGTGGAGGATGGGGCTCCTGAAGACCTGTCCACTCACTGGCCCTGCCCAGCACCCGCGACCCTGCTGCTTCTCTTGCAGCTGCCGGGCCGGAAGTACGAGCCTGGGTACAATGCCGATGTGGGTGATAAGTGGATCTGGCTGAAGTGACAGCGAGGGAGATGCCTGTCCTTCACCGGCCTCACAGCGTGAGAACGGAAAATGAACGAACCCCGAGAAAACACTCAACAGACACCACCTGGCCCGGAGCGTAGGTGGTGAAGGACCCGGCCTCTGTGCGAGGCCTTGGAACCCCCTGGCTTTATTTTAGAATGAAAGGGAAAGAAAAACGTCACCTGAGCGACCAGCCCTTGGGGAGTCTTCCCTTCACCCCAGCCGCCCCTGTCCTGTGCAGACTGTGTGCATTGCTGTGTCTGCCTTCGGGGAATAAAGCATTTCCACAGTGCCTCAGTGTCGTCCCTCTGTGCGCATGAGCCTCCACGCAGCCCCCTCTATGGGCGGTGTCTTTGATGCCGGGTCTCCTTGAGTCAGCTCCACTCATGTACCCAGGCAAGATCCTGTCTGAAACCAGATAGCATTCTTACCACCTGCTGTGCCGTTGTAGCAGTGCCTGGGTCAGTCCAGCCTTGGAGGACTTCCTCTTTTCCCCTGACCTTCATTGCAGAGTCTCCTTCAAGGACCAGCCCCTTAGAAGGGTGGGGTCTAATTCAGCATGATTAAGCTTGGAGAGTTTTCTCAGTATTTATTTGATTTGTGCTAATAGTCTGTCTAGCTGCTGTGTTGGAGAGAAAAGAAAGAAAAGGGGAAAGAGCAGAGAATGGTGCACTGCGGCCTCCGTGACCTCCAAGGACAAGGCTGGACACGGAAGCTGCAGGACAGACTCTGTCCTCCCTTCCTCAAAGCCAGGCTTGACTGAAACGTGAGCGATGAGAAGCCACATGTCCTTACCCCCTGCAAAAGGTGGATGAGGGAGACAGTCCCTGTGCCAGCTCCCTGCTCAGAGACCAGCTGGCCTAGGACTGCTAGTCCTGCCTGGCCACTTCCATTTATATTCAGCTTACAGCCCAGGCCCTCAGGTGCGCTGGCCACAGGACAGGTACCCAGATAGTATGGTAACAACTCCAGTCTCCTCAGTTGACGTGGCAGAGAACTGGCCTGTACCTGAAGGCGTGGCCCAGGGGCACTCTGTCCCTGGAGGTGGTTCTGGTTGACTTAGAGTGGCCTAAGAACACAGTCCCTGGAGGTGGTTCCGTTCTGGTGGACGTTGGACAGCATGTCCATAGTGTGACTTTCTCTTGGGCTTTACGTCTTGGAAGCTGAGTTTCCCAGCGCTGTGGTGCCTGATGGTGGTGCCTGCAGTCTTACATTTCAGGGAGGCGCTAGCCACGTTGACCACTAAGTGCAAGTGAGCCTGGACACCAGGCCAGCGCCCCAACCCACTATAGTAAGTGGGTGGGAGAGGGGGTCTTAGTGCCTTGACTATAATGAGCACACTCCTTACATAATCCTGCACTGAATTACTGACACTGTCCCCCCCTCAGAGCAGTGGACACCTGTGAGCTTGGTGCGGGCCCTGATAGCAGCCCTTCGCACAGCCCTGTGTCCACACCTGACGGTGTCATGTTCTCCAAGTGATAAATGTTGGTCATTCCAGCTCTTTCCACACCTGATGGTGTCACACCCTCAAAGTGGTGGACCCTGTCCACGCCTGTGCACGCCACAGGAGTCTGTACTGTGTCCACACTTCCCGAGGGGTCCTACCAACCCAGCATCTCGGACCCCAGGGTCTGTCCTGAGCATCTGTCCCCCTAGTTGTGTCTTTGTCCATATCTATTAAGTCTGTGTGCTGAGCACATGAAAAATGTGGCGTCAGGTTCGGAGGGAGACTCAGCAACCTGCCTGATGCAAATGCACAGCCTTGTTTGCTGAAGTGAGAGGACTTGAAGTGTGCGCTACATAAGATGAAAGACTGCAGCCTTCAATACGGGTCATGTCTCAACATCAAGAACTGGACCAATAAGCATCATGATGATAGATGGAGAAAGGACTGAAGCTGTCTGATTTCGTCTCCTCGGATCAGGAAGCACCGGCACTAAAGAGAAGAGCATTGGGCCAGCCCGCTGCCAGGGCCTCTCCAGAGTGCTGAGCAGTGACGTCAGTAAACACTAGGATTTGCCTGATTCAGGCCGTGGTCTTCCTATCACTGGCTGTGTGTCTGAGAGCTGGACAATGAATAGGGGCGACAGAAGAATCAGTGCCTTTGAGTTGTGTCAGAGAACAGCACTGCATGTCCACGGACGGCCAGGAGGACACGTCACGGCGGAAGAGTGCTCTGAGTGCTTGCACGCAGGCTGGTGAGACTTCATCTCATCTCGCTAGAAGGACCTGTTCTGGGAAAGGGGCCTCACACTTGGAAAGGTGGAGGGTCAGGGAGAGAGGACCCTCAATGAGCTCGACTGACGGACTGCAGCAGTGGGCTCAAGCGTGCCGGTGACGGGGGTGGCACACGACAGGACAGGTTCAGATCCGTTGTTCTTAGACGTGCTCAAGTCATACTCAACAGCACATAACAATAACCACTTACCACCTAAAAAACTGGAAGTGATTCCACTGCTGAAAACAGATGGCTTCAACAACAGACTGAGCAGAGGACAGGTGATCTTCCGAGGGGGAACAAGCAGCATTACTGGGCCTGGAGCGGGTCTCAGGAGTGAGTTCAGCTGGAGGGACAGGGTGTGTGTGTGGGGGGCGGCCTGCGGCAAGCTCGCAGACAAGCGGACACACAGTGGACTCCCGTGTCAGCCCTGAGGGGGGAGAGCGCTTCATCTCACTCCTGACTGAGACACGGTGTGGACGTGTACACGCCTGAACACACGGGTGGGCATCCTGTGTGACAGCGTGTGTGCATGCACGTGTGTACACGTGTGGATCTGCATGTATGTGTATGCACAAGTTCATGTGTGCTTGTGTCTATGAGCATATATGTGCAAGTATGCATGTGTGTGTGCTGAAGGAGTGTGAGTCCAGACTCGCACTTCTGACCGAAACCGGCCTTTGCTGCATGTCTGCACTGAGTGGGCCCTCGGAGGACACACCGCCACGTGGTGCTGTAGCTGGAAATGCCAGCTGCAATGTCCATTGTGCGTCCTATGTCCAGCCCTGGAGGGAAGAGGGGGAAGAGCTCAAGCGGACTCACTGGTGGGGAGCTGAGCTGGGGGTCAGCTGAGTGGTGGCCTGGGCAGCCAGGGCTCTTTGTGGGATACGTCCTCCTCAACTGAGTGGAGGCCTCAGACACTCACTGAGGCCTGACCACTGCTCTCCAGCCCTGCCTGCTACCGGGTGGGCTCTGTTGTCCTGGCCCTGCCTGCCCCAGCGTGATCTCTGCTGTCGCTGTCCCAGCCCTGCCCACCTGGGTGTGAGCTCTGCTGCCCCCTTAGATGTGACCTCTGCTTTCCAGGCCCCGCCCACGCAGGTATAAGCTCTGCTGTCCCTGTCCCAACCTCGCCCACCTGTGTGTGAGCTCTGCTGCCTGACTGCTCAGGTGTGACCTCTGCTTCCAAGGTCCCGCCCACCTGAGTGTGAGCTCTGCTGTCCCTGCACCAGCCCCATCCACCTGCTCGCCTGAGTGTGACTTCTTGCTGTCCAGCCCTGCCCACTCAGGTGTGTGTTGTTGAGGACACAGGACAGTAGAGCAGAGGCACACAGGTGCTACAGAGGCTCATTTCCAGAAGAGATTTCCAGGCCTTTCTTCCAGGTCCCGCTGGATGGGTTAGAGCCTCTAACCTCTGGGCAGCAGAGTGCATTAGCCGTGTGCACTGCGGCCTCCTATCTGGTCCCGGTCCTCATGACGGCAGCCTCTCGGGGCCCCTTTGTGGGGTGGTCAGCTCTGTCCTGGCCTTTTCCTGCATAGAGATGTGAGGACTCACCTGGCTGGTGTTCGGTGGAGGCTCAGATGTAAATCCTCCCTGTCAGCTGGCGTTGGGTGCCCCGTCCACACTGCCTGTGTGTGGAGCGTGAGTGGACAGCTCATAATGAACCTTTGTCCTCTTGGTGCTCAGAGCCTGGGACCCCTCCTGACCAGGCAGTGAAGTGCTGGCCTGGGAGGTCTTGTGGACCCTGCCCACCGTACCTGCTACCTCCAGAGCCACCTGTGGTCCAAGCCTCGTGGACACACCATCAGCCAGAGACCTTCAGGGACGGTGTCAGGAGAGAGCCCCATTGAACCCCTCACCATAGCCTGAGGGGCTGGGAATGTGCTATCCAGTGTCCTGGGTCCTAAGACAGCCTCCCCCAGACGTCATGCTCTGGACAGTGAGGGGATGGAGAGCAGGGCAGAGGGCATGTGCCTCACAAGCAGGCTGGGGGCCACCTTGTGCCCATGGAGGGGGTAGGTGGCAAAGAGGGTAACTGGGCAGGGGGTTTGTACCCCACAGGGACTGTGGTTGTGTGGGGGAGACAGCTGAGGCAGACAGTGTCCCGAGGAGGGGGTGTGGCTGGGTAGGGGCCCCATCCTCACAGTGGGGTGACTGCATAGTGTAGGCTTAGGTTTTACCCAGGGTAACTGGGAGAGTGGACATCTTACAGGGGCTGCTTCATGGGGTGACAGCTGAGGCAGGCACGTGTCCTGAGGGGGTGGCTGGGCAGACAGCTGAAGGAGGGGGCCTGAGCTGTATCCTGCCATCTGGTCACTGGACTGTGGAGTGGTGGCCTGAACTTGGGGCCATGTCTCACTAGACCCGAAACCAGGGGGCTGGGTCTTGGGGCTGTGCAACCTCTGGCCACCAGGGGGCGTGGGAGCCATGTGTCTGAGAGTGGCCACTGCCCACTCCCCTGGAAGGTGACCTGTGGCTGACAGTCCTGTCGCCAGCCCCATCCAGCCCTGGTGGAGGAAATACCGGCCTCGCTCGACACCCAGTCCGAGCTCTAGCAGAAAGAAGAGCTATTTCCACAGAGCCCTGATGGTCAGGACAGGCCCCTCCAGAACCACCCCAGGGCCCCTAGTGGGCTTGGGTTTCGGGGTCTAAGCCACAGGAGGGCGTCCCAGCACGGTGCAGGGGCCTTCTGGGTGTGGCACTGGCCACCTCTGCAGGAAGACAGCTGGGCAAGCAGGGTGTCCACAGAGATGCTTCCATCAGCCCGGGAGCCATCAA